TGACCTTGCTTAAAGATGGGCACTTTATTTGCCCTTTTTCAGTTGTCTGGGACCTCTTCCAAGAGCCACAAGTTTTCAGAGATAAGGGTCAGTGGCTCTGCAATCACATTAGCCATCTCCCTCAACACTCTCAAGTGCACAGCGTCCAGCTTCATAGACTTGTACATGTCCAGTTTTTCTAAATAGTCCCTAAACTGTTCTTTTGCCACTGTTGGCTGCTCAGCTTCTCCCCAAACTATGCTGCCCAGTGCAATAGTCTGGGAGCTGACCTTGCCTGTGAAGACTGAAGTGAAAAGGCACTGAGTACTTCAGCCTTTTCTGCATCATCTGTCACTAGGTTGCCTCCCCCATTCAAGTAAGGGACCCACATTTTCCCTGATCTTTCTTTTGCTGCTGACATAATTGAAGTTACCCTTAGATTTTATAGACATTAGGGGCTGGAAGGGACCTTGCGAGATCATCAAAGCAGGAAGTCTGCTGGGGTCAAATGATCCCAGCAAGGTAAGCATCCAAACATTTTTTGAATGAGTCCAGAGTAGGTGCTTGGACCACCTCTGTGGGGAGTCTGTTCCAGATCCTGGACACTTGGACTGTAAAAAAGTTTTTCCTTATGTCCAGTCTAAATCAGCCTTCCAGAAGTTTGCGGCTGTTAGACCTTGTTATCTCTTGGGGAATGAACCCTGGTGAACAACTGTTCTCCAAGATCCTGGTGCACGCCCCTTATATACTTAGGCTGCCACCAAGACCCCCTGAGCCTTCTCTTCTCCAGGCTGAAGTGTCCCAAGGCCCTCGGCTTCTCTTCATAAGGCTTGCTCTCTTGGCATTTGATCATGTGTGTGGCTCTCCTTTGAACTCGGTCAAGCTTATCCACGTCCCTTCTTACTATGCTTCATGCCTCTTCCTAGCTGCAACTCCAATTGCACTTTGGCCTTCCTGATTTCATCCCTGCATGCCTGAACAATACTCTTATACTCCTCCCTAGTTATTTGTCCAATTTTCCCCTTGTAATCTTCCTTTTTATGTTTAAGCTCACTGAAGAGTTCCCTGTAAGCCAAGCCATACTTGATAATCATCCTGCACACTAGGATGATTCTTTCCTGTGCCCTCAGTAAGGTTTCTTTAAAGTACAATAAGCTCTCCTGGACTCCTTTCCCCGCCTCAGACTGGCCTCCCAGGAGATCCTGCCCATTGGTTCCCTGACTGAGTTGAAGACTTCTCTGAAGTCCAGGGTCTTTACTCCTTCCTTTTCTTTCCACAGGATCCTGAACTCAATCATTTCATGGTTCTGTTCAAGTTGCCATCCGCTTCTATTGATGTACTGTTAAGAAGAATCTCTTCACAGTAATACAGTATTGTTCCCATAAGTAGACTGTACAAATAAGTACCCCAACATTTTTCAGGCTTATTTTTGGGAAAAACAGATTTGTTTCCTCCCCGAACACAATTGATAACTACAGGTTAGGTCTTGAATAACCGTTGTTCTTATAAAAATCTTACAGGAGAGTTAAATAACCAAGGAAAAAACACAAAGCTGGAATGTACCAAAAATACTGAAAGAAAAAAAGCTCTTAAAAATTGAACTCAGCATTTTTATTGCATGTAAAAAAACGGCAGGTACAAAAGTAAGACTTACAGATGGGTTGACTCCAAATTTTTATAATTCTTTTTGGAGAAAAAAAGACTTTTATAATCAGAAGACTATAGTAAGATAAGCTTACAGAATATGCTGTTCATCTGGTACCTATTACTTTGGAGCATTTGTTTTGAAGATATTAATGAAAAAACCTGGAATCATCAGAAATACGTAGAATAAAAAAATCTTCTTGTTCTCTATATTTTGTTGTACATGTGTACTCACTTTAAGTGGTTGAAGATACGTGGATGAATATCACTAAGAACTGTTTATTAATATAGTTATACTGGACTTGTGAAATCCAATATGTAAAAAAGTGTGTATGTAACTATGTATGTATGTTTTGTATATGTGTATATCAGTTCTGTAGGCAAGATTTTTACCTTATACAACATTTTAAAAGTCAGATCATAAAATCATAAAGCATAAAAAATGTTAGATTTTTGTAAAATGTACCTACCTGAAAGTCTAACTTAAGCTTGTGCCACCAAACCTCTCACTAGCTGTTCTCATATTTTTCACAGCCTTCATTGCCTTTTCAACTATTCCGAGCTTGGCAAAGAAAATCAAATTATTTTTTGCTTTGGCACCTGTAGCCACAGTCAGATTCTCCAATAGCCCTCTGGTAAAGCTGGGAAAGTTTCCAGACATGATGCTTAAGGTAAGCATTTCAGTCAAAATACTTTTTCAAAACTCAGGAAAAATGTATTTCTTTTCAGTTTTAAAATTGGTTACCAGAGAATGGGCACCTACATATGCATTTAAGCATGTCTAAATGTAATGTGCATTAAGCGGGTTTAGGCAAACGGCTGCATGTACAGGCATTTAAAATCAGTAGCGCTGTGTGTGGACTGATTTGGAACTAAAGTTAGTCTCAAGTCAGTTCACAAATACAGTGTTAATGTGCTTTAATGCATCTATATGTAAGTTAATGCGCTTTAACTATTCACGCTTAAATTTGATACCTGCATTTGTCACTTAAGGGATGCTGTAATGTCACATCTCGTACAATTAGAAAAAACTGTTTTTTTTTACGTAGGATGTGTCTGACACAAAGACATAAATAGCCCTCAGAATGGGAAGCAGCAACAGAAGAGTTTCTAAGAAATCTAAATATGTATGAGAGCAGAATTCAGTCAAAAGTAAAAAACAAAGTATATCTTGCAAGCTTTAGTTGAAATGATCAGAAATGCATTTACTCATTTGCTCATGGTTTTACTACTTTTGTTTCCAACAAACCATGGTTAATTTATTGGTAGATTTTAATAGTCATGTTGTTTCCTTTGTCATTATGCAGAGTGATTTTTAGTTTTGCTGTCAGCTTCTGCAGATCTGCTTTACAATTGCCTCCACATTTTTCTTTATGTAGATGTTTCTGTATCCTTTATACTCTTGTGCTCTAAAATCCATTAAATCAGAATATCTCTTGGAGAACCTACATAGTTTAATACATTCATTTTGGTTAAGCAAGTTTTGGCAGAAACTCTGCTTAACAGGAGCATTCACCATGCATTGCATGCTATCTGCAGGGTCTGTGCAGTTCACATGCACCACACAGTTTCCACACAGAGGGTCATACAAGTTACTGCAGATTGGAACTTGGGCGCTGGATGTCATTTTTTGTTTCTCAGGCCCTTTTGAAACTGCAGGATATACCCCTGTGAATTTTTTGTGAATTTCACTTGTTTCTAGCTCCCTTTCTTTCCTCGGACAGATAACATGAGCAGAATAATACCTGTTTGCTTCCTGTGCCCTTCTTCTCATAATGAGCATGGATGCTTAATCAGTTTTATAAGCTGTTCAGTGCTCCCAGCTGAGATGATTTATTTTCCAGAAATCCCCATGTCCATACAACTTGGCCTGGTCATAACAACATATATAAAAAAATTAGCATGGGAGCACACAGCTACCCACAAATCAGCAGGTGAGGTCATGTGCTTTGCTAGGGCACTTTGTCAGATGTTCAAACCCGTGGATGTTTTAAAAATATATAACAAGAGGAAACTGCCCTATAACCCAGCTTTGTTTTTATTCACATGCTCTGAATTGAGGAAGTTTTGAAAACATAGCTGGCATATTAATTCGCCTGTATACATGCAAGGAGGCTGCTCTGATGTGATCTAATTACAGTACATCAGAGCAGACTCAACTGAATCTGCTGGACTGTGCTAATTAGCATGCCTCCAGCAGCCTCTGCATATTGTGTATCAGTGTCCCCATGCTTCAAAATGGTGGCGGGGGTGCTTTAACTAAAGCTCATTCAACGAACTTTAGTGAAAATGCCCCTGCTGCCATTTTGAAGGATGGGGACACTGATACACAAGACGCTGTGGGTGCTTTAATTAGTGGCTCTGGGGCCACTCTAATTGAAGTGCCCCCTCCACCTCCAGAACTCATGTAAAAATGCCCATAAAGACTATCTGAATTTAAGAGGTGCAGCTTAAAATGTTTTAGTCCCGTGCAGTTCCTATAGGAAGGGAATATTACACTCTTCCTCTGTTATAATGAATTCAAAACAGTTTAAAACTTAAAAGTTTGGAATTGATTTAATGATTGGTCCAGTTCACGTGTATTGTTCTTTTTTGTGTGTTTGTTTTTTGGGTTACCATTATGCATCCTGATCACAAAGATACTGATCATAAATTTCACAGCAGTCTTACAACTTAGATTAATATGATGGACACTCCTTCATATCACAGGTCTTCAGAAGTAATTATCTCAATTAAACTATTGCATAACATGTAAAGGCAAATCAACTTATACTGTTGTGTATGTTCCTTGTGCTTGTTGTTTTACAGATTATATTTGGAAAGAAACAATTCCTGCCCCAAAACTGGATACTGAAGTGGCTTGCTACCCATATTTGTACCCACAAATTACTTGATGACCTTTGTGGCAATATCTTCTTTCTTCTTTGTGGCTTCAATGAAAGAAATTTAAATATGGTATGTTCTGAATATACCTAAAAGGTTTTTGGGGGACTTTTTTTGTGCCTCCTACTCCTAATGTACAATGGTGTGTATACTTCACATACAGTTTTTTACAAAAGTATAATACTTGCAGTTTGAATGAGTGTCTTTCTTGCTATAGATGAGAATCCAACTGTACGAAGTCTGGCTGTTAAAAGCGAAAGAAACAAAATTTTGCAAGTTGTTGAAGTTGTGGATGGAAACAAATTGGTTGGAGTGTGGTTGGAAACAAATGAAGATGAGAATTAATGGCCTGAGAAATGAAACAGGAATTCTTACTCCCTTTTAGAAGTGAGGAGTAAAAATCAGTATTCATAAGTGCTTCTTGCTTGGTCAATTTATACTATCTGAACTCCAAAGAAAAAGTTGCACTTTGAGATAACAGTTCTGATAGACTGTTTTCTTTCTTGCAGAGCCGAGTTGATGTGTATTCAGCACACTGCCCTGCAGGGACATCTGTACAAAACATTATTCATTGGAGCCAGGTAGAACATTCAAAATCTGAAGTGCCTCTAACCCTAGCTTGTTTATAGAACACTGTATTGTTTAACAGAAATGAGGGGGAATGTCTTAAAAAGATCCTGAGTAAAATTCTGAAACTTGCTGTAAGTAAGCTTGAACAGTACCTGTTTACTTTTACATAGTTAAAAACTGAGAAGTTGGCCTGGCTTACAGCATATCCTTTCTGCTCTGATTCATACTTGTTCTCAAAATTGGCAGTTACTGAAATGCTTATTGCCAAAATGGCTCAGCTGATTACATGACTGAATTAACTGGGTAAATGTTGCGATACAAATTCTACGAAATAACAGCTTGTAAGAACAAAATTCTGCTCAAACTGTGTTTACAACAAGCAAGATTTTCAGAAGTGCCTATATGTACAATTGTGTCTGATGATGCATCCTTTACTGTGGATCAGACCCAACAAATATATGTGTGCATCTGTGAAAGTCTGGATGACTGCATATTGTTTCTGGTCAGTACCTTGGTGCCTTGTCTTGTGGCACTTGTTGTATAGATGACTGGACACTTCTGCAGTTAATATGCATTTTTATTTCTTTACAGTTCCTAGGTGCAAGGTTTTCTACTCATGTATTTGCTGACATTATGTTATCATGTACTTGCTTTTAGGCTGTGAAATCTGGTCAACTCCAAGCTTATGACTGGGGAAGCAGAGCTGCAAATTGGATTCACTATAACCAGGTAAAGTTCGCTTAACTGAAAAACTTAGCCTTGGGAGACAAATTAAAGCTTTGAAGGTATTGGCAGAATATACATGCCCAGAGGATCCTGTCAGGCTGTGGTAAGCAGCTTGCTTAACTGCTTAAGTTAAGCAGGCTGAAGCCTGGGTTAGTGCTCAGAAGGGAGACCTGTCAAAAAAGGCAGGCATTGTAGGATATATTTGTTTAGTGGACATTTCCCTCTGAGTAGGCTCTCTGCTAAAAAGCATGATGGTACACTCTTGCTGGAGGGGAAGCCTTTTGAATTGGTTTTAACCAAAGTTCATTCTGCTTAGATCACTAATGAACCCACAGCACTTTCATCAGAGGAATTTAATTTTGTTGTCCTGTCCAGTCTTCAGCCTCCTTAAATCCTGCAGTTTCATTTGCATTCCTTGATCTTCTGGCATCCTATGCATAGCACTGGAAACTTTTCCTCAATTACTTTACTAACTGAAATTAACTTAGTGTAATACAGAACAGTGATTCTCAAGAAGAGTGCCATAGTTGAGATATTTTGAGGGTATCTCACAAGATAATCCCTGAGATTTCAAAAAGAAGTGTTAAAACAATTCTGCCCTGTTGTGGTCTTTTTGAGGTCTTTGCAACAAAATAATTGCTTTATTATATTACTGAAGTCAAAAAACAACTCAAAACTAAGAGCTGGCATTTTCTGAGAGGTGCTTTGAGTATGAGGGTGTTGCTGCATGTTATCTTTAGGCTATACTAAGAGCTCTTAATGCGTGAGTTTCCATACACTAAACCACAAAAACTAGTGGTAAGCACCCTCTAGGCATCTTAAAGTTATGCCACAGTACTGTGTGACTGTTCCACAGAAATAAAATGATCAATTTTGAGTCCTCCAGCATCCCAGAGTGCACTGTCCCTTCCCCTGCTTCCTACTCTATGTGGACAGACTTTCTACCCCATTTGTGTGGGGGGTACATCAAGCCAACTCCCCCTCCTGGCCCTAGGGGTTGTGACCCTGTGCTAGCAGTGCAAGCAGCTAGCAGTGCAAACAGTGTCAGCTGGGGCAGAACAACCCCTGCAGATTTGGTTCCCCAATAATGCCCCCACTCCTAACCCAATCCCAGTTCATTAACACCTGAGACTTTTCTTTTTTTATTATTTTTCACTTCTTTCATTTTATTCTTTGGGGGTTTATTACTTTCATTTCATTTCAGAGGCTTATTTCCTTCATTTCACCACAGACCCTGCCCCCATGCCTTTCTGCCTCCCAATTTCATGCTTCCACCTCCACAACCATCCTCTTCCACTTAGAACAGGCATCCTGGCTCTCCTGCCCTCTAGTGGCAAGTCACAGTTGTGCAGGTCAGATGACATTAAATCTTAATGTGTGACTGCTCAAAGTTTGTTCTAATATTAATACCACTTAGTGTTGCATGGCACTTAATATAGCATAAAGGTAATGTGTAGCAGCACCCTAAAAGAGTTGGGAACCATTGGGCCAGAAATATATATTCATTCACATATTCACCTATACAATCAGGTTTGAGATTAAAATTAATTCAGTTTGGTAAACTATTTTTTCTTCCACCTTTCTCCCTTGCTAGCTTTTAACCTTAGAAAGCTATATGCTTTCCATTGAGCCATCCTTAATATGACACAGTCTGGAGTTAGAATTTCCCCTGAAGTGACCCATGCTCCCCAGGCTTGTGTTTCTCAAAAGCAAAGAGAGAGGAGAGGCTTGGATTATGGCTTCTGTCTTCTTTTTGCACTTGTCAGTGTGATGCACTCTTGGTCGATAAGAACCTTGCAGACTTGTTCTTTCTAAGGTTTGAGTTGTCTCTTTTTAACAAGGGCTGAATGAATTTATATAAGATTTGTTTTCTCCCTCCCTAGACCACACCTCCCTTCTACAAAGTAAAAGCAATGACTGTGCCAACTGCTGTGTGGACTGGTGGACACGACTGGCTTGCAGACCCAAAGGATGTGAACGTGTTGCGTACGCAGATCCCAAACTTGGTTTACTACAAAAATATTCCTGAATGGGAACATTTGGACTTCATCTGGGGTCTTGATGCACCCAAGTGCATGTATAATGAAATCATTGCCCTGATGAAAAAATTTCTCTGAATTGTCTGGTATCTTGGGGATTAATCTTTCTAAATTCCACTTTTGAAATGTTTATTTTTATGGCAAGAGCAAATAGATCTTTATTTATGATGCATTTTTAAAATGCCTATAATTACTACCGAAATGAATTAATATCTGTTTTTGGCATACACAGGGCATGTCTACACGTGCATTTATGCTGGCTTAAATTTACTGCACAGTAAGCAGTAGTAGTCTGGCATCTACACATGCAGGCATTAAAGTGTGTACAGTGTTACTGCACAGCAAGGCATCTATATGTGTGTTAGTGCGCAGTCACTAATTGGGCATAAATTTGATATCTGCGTGATGCAGGTATCGAATTTACGCTCAAGTTGGAGTGCATTGCCATATTTACTGCGCAGTATGGGTGTGCACATGTAGATACAAACCTGTACTGTGTAGTAATTTTGATTATTGTGCAGTAAATGCCTGTGTGTAGATGTGCCCACAGAGTATTATTTCTCTCTCACCACAAAATTCTTTTTCCTATGCTGCTGTTTTCATGAAGCTGAGAAAAAAGCAGTGGGACCGTCAACCATGGAGGCACAATATTCATGCAGATTTAAGTATAGGTTTGAAAGACAAATTAACACACTCATCATTTCAGCAGCTTGAAAGTTCAAAGAATAAGTACTTCACCTTGAACAATACCTCCACAGATATTTAAAAATGACCTCCCAGATTTTGTGACTGGTGCTAATGAAGAGATATTTTGGCACTGGCAGTACAGCAAGCCTTTCTGAAAGTCATCTCCGTTTTTCTTGCACATTAATCTTCATTTAGCCATATTTAAAAATAAAATGACAGGTTACTTTAGTTCAAAGTTTTAGCTCAGAAGTGTGGTGCAATTTTGCAGTGCCAAATGGAATTGCTTCTTTTGGCCTTGATAAGTTTGTCACGCCCTGTGTATCCAAAATAATGAATCACTGAAACTGGACCACAGTCTTTCATGTTTAAAGTATCAAGTTTCGATGAGCACTGCTGCTTACCATTTGTCCTTGCAAAATAATTAAAGAAAAATACCACTTTCTGTAATGCTAGTACTAGATTCTGATTTGCAAGGGAAAGGATGGAAGATGTTGGTAATAAATCTTGTTTGCACTGATGAATGACCACTAGAGAAAAAAGGCTCCAGTATGTGACATTGGCCAAGAAGGGGCCAAGGGCAATTATTTAGTGGCTCAGGTATGCTATGCTTTCATAATTGCTTAATTAGCTGCTGATGCACTGATTGTCTTAGCTACATATATGTTGTTCTTTACTGTAGAATTTTCTCACAACCCCTGTGAGGCATGGCAGTATTGTCCCTGCTTTTGCATACAGGAAGCTGAGGCAAAGATAAAGTTACCTGCCTAAAGTCACATAATATTTTTTTGGTTGAGCAGGAGTTGAACCCAGGTCTCCAGAATTCCAGTCCACAACCTCCACCTGAAAGGTAGCTTTTTTTCATTAGTGCCCTTTTCTCCTTGGTCTTTAAAATTTTGAATTTATCTACAAGTAATGGAGAATATTTTTAAAGAAGTTAGAAAAAATATAAGCCATAACTCGTGGGGGGTTTTTTTAAACTTCTTGGTCAGGCTCAGGGAATCCTTCAGGCTAAGGCTACATTATTTAGAGAAAACAGTTCTTGATTGATATTTCAGTTATGGCTCTTAAGAGGGTCCATAAGCATGCTTTATACTGCTAGCATTGGTGTTTGCTTCAAATTATTGTAATGCAAAAAAATCTCTAAAAGAGTCTAAACTGGTAAGAACAGCTGTTGTGACAGTACATGACATAGCAAAGCGATGCACATTGTACTCATTAAAGCTTTAAATATTTTCAATGAAACTGGATTATCTGTGCTGGTATAATGGTGGGGTTTTGGAGTTGCGGGGGGAAGGCATTTGGTTTTTTTGCTTGTAGTGGACTGGGGCGGCTTGTGCAGATAAACATTATTTACATGATCTTTCGGTTTCTAGCACCAGTCCTGGATACATAAAACATAAGAGCAAAGCAACACAGTAAACTTCCATGGTGTCCGTTGCTTCTAAAAGGTCACTGTTTAGAGTTAACAGCCATTCCTTGGATATTTGGCTTTGGTGAGACTTTCAAAAGAGACGCTAGTCTTGATAGAAGGAACTATATTGAGCTTGCGAAACATGATTTATAAACCTTCTAATAACTTGTAATGACTTATTGTAAAAGCAGTGAAATCAAAGGCTTATTTTATCACATCCCTGGACAACTGGATTGCTTAAGATTTTGTCTGATTATAAAGCATATAATAATAATGTTGTGCAAGAAACTAATCTCCAAACACTTAGAATGTTGACCAACAACATTATTACTATGGAGTAATTGGCTCTCTATTTTACTCCACAGCATATTTAGTCTGTAGTAAGGATGTCTAAAGCAGGTTCTGTTGCAGGCCGGGTCACTGGAGAGGTGGCAAAGGCGTTAACTTGCAGTGAACAAAGGGTATGGCCTCCCTCCCCCAGTAAAACTGACAACACCATGTACAGCAGTGTGAATGTATTTACAGCTTCTACTTCTTCATAAATAGCCTTACCCTAGAGAATGACATTTTCTCTGGAGTGTGTGCTCTGTGGTATCTGTACACTCCACTTTTCTTTGAAGTAACCACATTGTGTGTCTGTCCTGATTTGAAGACTGATACTATTCCTTTTGTAATGTATTTTACTGATACTACTATGTTTAGGACATGCATGTGTGATGAGAGTACAGTAGAGGTTGTATGTTCAGGTAGCAAGGAATACAAATTCCCATTTTCTGCTAGCTCTGCTTATCAGGGGAATACAGAACTGACTGGAAGCAAAACCAGAACCATGTACCAAGTTGAACTAATACTACTTCACTTTGCCTTGCAAGAAGTGAGATGGGAGTTATGAATATTAAGTCTGTGCTAAGCAGCAAGTATTCAGTTCGGCTTCAGATTTGGCTGATTTGAGGCACAGTGATTTGATTCTCAGTGATTTGAATCACTGTCCTGATTTGATTCAGCGATTCAGATTCAGAGATTGGGCCGCCGAATAGGGCTGAATCTCCTCTGAATCAAACAGGTGGTGGTGGCAGTGGCAGTGGCGGGGATGTGGCGGTGGCAAGTGGGGCTCCACCCCCCTGGCCGCTTCTGCAATTCCTCCTGTGGCTGCCCTGCCCGGCCTCAGCATCCCAGCACTTAAAAAAGCCCTGCACTCACCAGCTGCGGTGGCAGCAATCAGCGCCTCTGTGGGCTCATAATACGGCTCCCCTGTGCAGTGCAAGGATCATCCCCCACCCCCCGCCTGGCACCCACACGGCAGCTGTCGCATTGTACAGGTGCAGCATGGCTTGGCAGGGTGCTGCGGCAGTTGTCCTGGAGCTGGGGCAGCTCCAGCAGTCATCCGGAGCCCAGCAGTGCTCCACCCGTGCTACCTCATCTCCCAGACAGCATGTGAAGCTCTGCGGCGCCCTACCAAGCTGTACTGCACCCATGCAATGCGACAGCTGCTGCCAAGTGCCAGGCAGGGGGAGAGGGTGATCTACTGCCCCCCCCTGCCCCACACTGCATGGGGGCGCTCTGCCACAAGCCCCCAGAGGCTCCGATCACCACTGTTGCAGCCAGTGAGTGTGGGGCTTATTTATTTTTTTAAGTGCCAGGATGCTGGGGCCAGGCAGGGCAGC